AAAAAAAAAAAAAAAAAAAAAATACTTGTGAGGAAAAAAGCGAACTGGCAAATTTTCCTCCAAATGGTAGGCAATCTTACATTTGACAAACTGTTAAATCGTGTTCATAGCATTGCACGTGTATACTCGCGGGGGTAGGAAATGTACATACGTAACGTAATATTATTATATATATATGCCCCTTACACGTGAATAAACCTCTTTTTTGTGATTCATCCTCGTTTTGCCTCGCGTAGGGGGCGCGCGCAAGTGGAAATTAAAAAAAAAAAAAATAAAAAATAAAATAAAATAAAAAAAAAATAAGAGCGCACAAATGTAAACGAACGAATGATAAACGCCACACGGGGCGAGCACAAAGGTGAGAACATCGTTTCGAGATCCCTCACGCAAGCAGTTAATAATCAATTTCGCCCATTACATTTCCCTCATTATATTTCCCTTCTGTGCTTCGGGAAATGGTCACCATTTAAAAGACTGCCTCGGATAGTATGCAGGATGCCCCTATTTACACTACGTTAGGATGCCACTGTTTTTTTTTTTTTTTTTTTTGTGCATAAAGGCCACTACAGACGGGGACAACAAAAAAATTAAGAAAAAATGGTGGGACGAATGCTTTAACATTTTTCACCTTTGCAGGAGGGTTATATATATCCTTTCCCCCATTTATATATTTATATTTATCACGCTGCCGCGCTGCCTACACAGTTGAGGAAGTGTTAACGGAGTTGTGTGAAATGGAACTCCACACATGTAGATGGTGAAGAAACCACTGACGCAGGCACGCACACAAATGTGTTGCGGCATTCTGAAGAGGCTTTAAAAAGGGGGGAAGCCAACGGTGTAGCAACGGTAGAAGATGTTGGGGGATGGTATAGAAACATTTTAAAATCGGGTGACAAATGGAAACATATGCCATCCCCGTTGCGTCCCCTTTTTTTTGTTTTCTTCGCAAGCAGGGGGTGGAGTCAGGGCGACATGTGAAACGCCCATCCAGTCGCAATACTGTTTGGTAAAAAAGTTAAAGCAATTACGCTCAGTTGAGTGTTGTTTAGAAGAGGGGGGTGGCACGCGAGGATGTGTGGATACATGTGTCCGCTGATTCATCCCCTGGCATGGCACACACACACACAACACATTCCGGGAGATGCGCAGATGAAAATTCGCAAAAATGAAAAAAAAAAAAAGAGAAAAAAAAAAAAGCCGAAGGAGGCAAAACGGAGGTGTTTCTCCATGCATTTTTTTCGTGCAAAAACGGACCCGCTAAAGGTAACATTGTGACTGTGCCGTACACGTGGTGGTCGTGTAAAGTGACTCCCCCCCCTAATGTCACATGGTAGGGAAGTGAACCCCACGCAGAAGATCCCATGCGTTACTCTTTATGTACAGAATTAACGCATTAAAATTGTTCAGCGCAAGAGAAGAGTTCACCGCGCTCGGGAGGCTCTTAGAAGTGTGTGCAAAATTTGCTGAATCTGCTTCTTCCCCTACATCTTGGCTCAGTTCCGCTCCCTCCTCACTCTGCACGACGTTTGTGATAAAGGCAGGGTTAAATGTGATGAATACATTTGTTCTCCATGACATGCTTACCTTTTCATATTGTTCTGGTGCCTTACGAAGTTTACGTTTTATTTTTTTTCGGAACCAGTGAATGTCTACAATTTCGTTAAAGCACAGGGGGTTGTAGAGCACCGTTATCTGGCATTCGAATTTCTTCTCCACGTTTTTTATAAAATGCTCGAAGTAGCTCTTGTACACAAGCAGCAACTCGTGCTTCTGCAATCCCTGAAGCATATCACAAACTTTTGTGGCCTTCATTTTGGTGACATCGTCTAGGTAGCTTAGGTCGTAGGCCTCGTCCATGCGGTACATATGGTTCAGTGTTTGTGTATTGTTTTCATTCGTTCCTTTTTTGTGATTGGTTAGGGTGGCTAGGTTTTCATTTTCCTTTGCCTCTTCCGCGTCGTCATCCTCCTTCTGTTGCGTCTCCTTCTGTTGCGTCTCCTTCTGTTGCTTCTTGTTCTTACTGGGTGTGTTCGAGCTGGGTTGCACTTCGCCCCCTACGCATGTATCCCCCTCAACAAGGCCCCCCGCATGTTCGGCAAATTTTATTTTCTCCTTTAACAAGCTCAGGGACCTCTCCGGTCGGTGAAAATTCAAAATGATATCACAGTTCCTTCTGTCCATTAGAAAAAGGGAAATCCAATGCTCCCGCTCAAAATGAATATGCAATTTTTTTATCGTCTCGAGGGACTTGTTCGCTTCCGAAAGAATTAATTCAAATAAGTGCTGGGGCAGATTAATGAGTAGACAGTGGGGGTCATACAGGGAACATATCCAAAAGGGTTTTTTCATTTCTTTATTTTTTTTTCTCGCATGAAAAGAATTTATTAATTTAATTTTATGTTCCTCCTTGAGGCAATTGTCGTAGTCCATGATGAGCGGTTTGTTGTGCCAATCGTAGCTCACCAGGAAGGACAAAAATTTCGTGAGGGCTGTTACGGGGCATATGGAAAAGGAGTCTAAGAACTCGTCTCCGTTGTGAGCGGCATCACTTGGCTCACCCAACGTGTTTTCCGTTGCTGTTGCCGTTGCTGTTGCCGTTGCTGTCGTTGCGGTTGCTCCCGATGCGGCGTCTTCCTTCTTCAACTTCCCCCCCTGATGTACGCTGTTGTTTCCCTTTTTCCCCTTCGCATGGTAGGCAGTGGCTTTCGGGCTGTCCTTCCTGACCTCCACAGATCCCTTCTGCATGGGAGCACTAACAAAAAGAGAGTCGTCCTCCCCACTCTCACTTGCGCTGGTGACACCAGTAGGGCTTCCCCCTAAGGATATCTTCTCCCTCTCACAAAGGGAGCGGTAGTAGAGGCGCTCTTCCACCTTCTCCGCACGGGCAATTCTTCTATACAAACGACTCCAGCGAAGGAACTGTGCATGTGGGGTGTTACTTCCAGGTAGACCATTCTCCAAAAAAAAAACATTCCTCCTAGCATGCCTCCTAAACTCTTGCGTGTACAGGTAAAAAAGAATATTTTCCACCAACTCATCACAACACCAAATACCCTTACACATGAACCACAGTTTACATATCTTCACAGACAAGTGAAAGGATGCAAATTTAGTTGAGTAAAAATAAACAAAAGAAGAAACTAATGGCTTGAAAATATAATTCTTTATCTTGTTCATATGATCTACTTGCTCAATTCGTACATCATCCATGTTGGTCACTTGAATGAGATTCCTCTCGATCACTTTGCTAACGAAAATGTGCAACCTGAAGAGGACTAGCTTGGATACAAGGTCAAGACAAAAGTTTTTATTCTCTACTTTTGAAAAAAAATTCTTCCCCTCAGTACAAATCTTATTACAAATAATCCCCTTAGCACTTTCATATATACGAAAGAAGTTTTGAGCATTCTTGTAGTTGACACTGTTGAATTTTATATCCACAACCAAGTCGATTATTTTTTTCTTATTCTTTTTATAGCCCAGATCGGTCATCTTAAGTAAATCATTCGAGCTACTCACGTTGCACACGGTAAACAACTTCTCACTCAGACTGTATAAAATATTTTTTACTTCATTATAAAGGTTGCTAATACTTTCGTAGTAGGTGAAATGCGCATCTTTAATTAACAATGGGGTGGACAGATATACGAAGAAGGTCTTTTTCTTTTCCTTCTTTCCACTGTACAGGTGAATTGCCTCATCACTTTTCAGCGAATGGATCCTGTCGTGTAGTCCCTTCTGCAAACTGGTTGCTTCGTTAAACTTCATCATGCGTAAGATGCATTTAATCGCCTGCACGTGCACTGATGGGGTTTTCCCTTCGTACAGCTGGCTGAACAGGACCTCAAAGAAGGGGTTACCCACGTTGTGGTCCTCCTCCTCGCTTTCACTCTCATCATGTGCACGTGTTGACGCGTTCCTCTTCTTCCTAGGCAATCTCGTGCCTGGCTTCCTCCACTGAACGACTTCAAAAATGGTATTATTTTCAAATCTCCTAATGCTTGCTTTGTCTCGCCAAAACTGCTTAAATGTGGAGGTTCCCTCGGGGGAGTACAGCTCCTTACACACATCCATCAGCCTCATAACGTTGTTTGTCTTTATAAAGAAGGTCACTCCTATTAGAGTTTTCCTCTTCAACAGGACCTTCTTCGATCCATCATGCTCCCCAGTGTCGGAGGCATCCATACCGTCCCCCCGGCGCCGCTTGCACGTGAGCAGCACTTCGTGGAAGAGACTCTTCGGCAGGCTGCCCAATGTGACGCGGCGCTGATCCTGCTCACCCGTTGCACTCACTTGGTGCGAATCGCCTGCCCCTTCCCCCGCCACTCCCCCCTCGTGGAGGACAAAGCGGACGAGGCGCACGGCCACCTCGCTCAAGCGGTCAGCCAAGCCACGCACCAAGTTGCGCCTCAAACCCATCACCACCTCGTTATAGTTATGCAGGTAGTTGTTCACGAGAAGGGGGAAGAACACCTGCTCCTCGTAGTTCAAAGAAAAGCACTCATAGTTACACGCCAGCATGTCGTATACGTTACCACAACGAAGGGAATACTCTGCCTTCTTCGCCTCCTCAATCAGTTCAGTGAGGGAGCAAAAAATGGACTCGAACGGGTCATATAATGAATTAATAATAAATATATGTGGCCCCTCTGTTGATGAACACGTCCCCTTTCCCCTCTCCGAAGAGGTAAACACTCCGTTGTTATATTCATATACATGATCACACAAATTCATGCTGCTCAAAAAGCTTATGGTCTTCTTAAAAATGAGGAAGGCATCGCATCTGTGGAGGTTCTGCTCATGACAGACGTAGCTACAGATCAGTCCCAGTGCAAACGAGTTCACATCTGTGTAGTGGAAGAAATTTTCAATTTTACAATTTTGTCCTTGCTTAAGTTTACCGTCACTCTTTTCATCACGAGTAGAGAAGGTATGCAGTAACCTTTTGTTGAGGCACCAGAGCTTGAGCAATTTAACAGCTTGCTTGTACGCATCTACCTGGGCAACGGTCCTTTTTATTAAATTATCACACTCGATCAAATGACACTCGGTAAGTATAAATTTTTTCACAATGGTTCGTCTAATGCAGAGGGTTTGTATTTTTTTCCTCACTTGATCTTCCTCTGCATGTGTTTTTTCTCCCGCTTTGTTTGTGCGTGCAGTGCTTCCCTTTTCCGTCCCCTTATCCTTATCATGCTTGGCGTTTTTTCCATTTTTTTTTTTCTTCCCTTTGACCTCGCCTGCATTATTTTTTTCCTCAATCTGTGTGTGGGTCTTGTGCACCGCACCCGCATACCACTTTCTATACACCTGTAACAGACTCGAGGTGACTTTCTTCGAAGGGTAAAGAATCACATGGATGTTGCCAACATGCTTCTCCCTTTTATGCACTGTGAGGACTAAAATCGATTTTGAATTATTCAACCACGTCTTTACACCAACACGTACATCCACACTGTGAGATAAATTCTGTTCATGCAAAATAGTTAAAAAATTCTTGGTGAAAAAATAATTCTTCAGGAGGATAATGAAGAGGTTGTGGTAGTGTGGTAGACTCCTGTACTTGCATTTCCTGCCCAATGTTGTATCTAACACATATTCGAATCCAATGTCAATATTTATGTGGCTGTTTAGCATCATGTTATTTTTATAACTGCCTAATATTTTCCCTCTCTTTAGTCTTATACTTTTCGCATATGGCTCATTGAATTCATTTTTTTCATCCTGAAGATAATTGGTTAGCTCTTCTTCCAAATCAGCTACAAAGTCGATCGTTGCATTTTTAATAAGTGAAAGGAGAGTAATATTGGTTACGTTTTTTTTGTGATAATGCAACCCTAGCAATACGTCATTTAGTCTCCTCCCGTGGTCATTATCGTTTGTATCTTCTTCGTAATTTCCATTCTGCTCTTTTTCTATGACCTTCAACTTGTCCTCATCCACGTCCTTCATGGGAGCCTCGACGCTCAGCTCGAACGTCATTTCACTCTCTGCTGGACGCGGCATGGTGGTATGAAAGAAATAATAAAAAAGGGAGGGAGAAGCCAGCAGCAGCTTTACACATACAGGGGCGACGACTTCCCACAACACGTGTAACAACCCGTTGCAGAAGCGGCACCTCCTCAAGGGGAATGGCCTTTCCTGCTTTAAATCTACATTAACAAGGAGCAAAGTCTTCCACCCCTTCCCCTTTTTTTGAAGTCCTTTCTTCTAATCCCTTTTGCGCTAAGCATAATATGTAGCCCCTCTCTTTTTCCTTGCACGGGAACACAAGGCAGCTTAATGTAGGTGTTTTTTTTTTTTTTTATTAATGCTTTTATTTAATTTGTTAAACACCGCCGCTAACAGATTGTTCCCCTGTTTTACTTCTGCTACTCCTCTGCGGCAGTCGTTCACGGCGTTGCGTCGTGTTGAGGTAAAACGTGTGGCAGCTGTTTCCCTTTTCTCACATACATGCATGGGGACACTCATTCGTAAGTCAAACGAATAAAGTCATTTGCGTAGGACCGCGCGTGCGATGTGATGGGGTTCGTCAAACTCCCCTGTTTTTCGCATTCCCCCTGTGACCACAAAATGGTGGGCAGCAGTTTTTTTTCTTTTTGTGAGGGAAATCTTCTACACGGCGGTGAAGCGGCTACGCGTATCCTCACAAGGTCAGCTTGCGTTTGCGTTTGCGTTTGCGTTTTTTTTTTTTTTTTTTTTTTTTTTTTTTTTTTTTTTTAATATTGTTATGGGGTTATAGGAAGTTTAGCGGTGAAAAAGTCAACCAGCTGATGGATCAGGGGCTTTACCGAGCGGCGGCGGGGTTTGCCGGTCAGGAGTCGTTTTGTCCGCCGCGTTGCGGTGAAACCCATGTGGGTGTTACTTTTTTTTGGGCCGGCTCAGAAGTATACCCTGCCCACATGTATTTTATATATTTACGCATGAGGGGGACAAGGAATACAATCAATTAAAGTGTATTAGCTTGCCCGCCCCGCTTTTTCTACTGGACCGACCAATGGGGTACACGCCGCCCTGTTGTACCCCCCCGTTTTTTTTTTTTGTTTGAGGCACCGGTTTGGAGGACACACATTTATTTAACGGCCTTATGCGCAGAATCGGGGGACGGGCAATTCCTTCCCAAGTGCGCACAGAAGGGGGAAAAAAAAAAAAAAAAGGTTCATATTGAAGTACGCTACTCCCCTTGGTCGAAGCAGCAACACAGTGTAGAGTGAGATCACCCTTTGTGGCTTCTCCCTCCGCCAACACATAACACACAAAATGTATCGCCGCACGATGAGGGTTTTATTGAGCCAGGTGCGTTTAACGAGTGGAGCGAAAAAGAGAAAGGGGAAATGCCACCCGGGTTACTTTTTTTTTTTTTTTTTTTTTTTTTTTTTCCATTTTATTCTTCTTCACCTTTCCATTTTTGAATGATCAAATTGTGAGGGTTGATCGCATGCATATTAGCTTCGTAACATTATTTTATTTTGTGTTCTCACCCCTGACTTGTTACAATGCTGGGTTAGTCCCTTTTTCGTACTTTAGCTGCCACCCGCCTAGCGGTGTAGCTGCCTCTTACGGGGGTGTGGCGAAGAGGCAACGTGTACCGGCTGAGTTGGCCCATCCTTAAAAGGAGAAGAGACCACGAGAGGAAGCACAAAAAGTTTTACTGGCCTTCCCTCTTCCACATTTTTTTTGTACGTAACCCAATGAGAGTAGGGGCATCTATTTCTTTCTCACTTCATTCTCTTTCATGCAGTAGCTAATGCAGATAAAAAAGGGGAAGTATAAAATTAAAAAAATAAAAAAAAGAGACCCCTCCATAGCTGACGTGACTCGGGGTCCTACGCCGGGGTTAAGCTGCTTAGCACCGTCGGCATGCGAATTGGGAAAGGTGCCCTGTGTGCGTGTGTGTGTGTGTGTAGAGGGGGATGAAATGCTAAACGGGATATTGCTTCGTACAACAGAAGGGGAGACTTGTCGCCGGAGCAGCGTGTAGCTTGTCCCCCGCAACCATGGACGAGTCGTTCATCCCCAAGGAGCTGGTCGGGAGGGACATTTACCAAATCCTGGGTTTGACCTTCGACGATGCAACAAAGGACAACATAAAAAATTTAATAAGAAAGAGGTACCTAAAATGTGCGCTCGTTTTGCACCCCGATAAGGCGGAGGGAGGCTCCAAGGGAAGTGGTACAAAAGAGAATGAAACAGAAAGGAGTACTTCAACTGCATCACACAGCGACAAATTCAACACCCTCAAATGTGCATACGAATTTTTAATGAATGAACAATTAAGGAATAAGTATAACCAATACGTTTCACAGCAGAAGACGAAAATAAAAAAACATGCCACAGGGAGTAATAACCTAAGTCTGAACCGCCACCTGGACAAGACTAAACTGGATGCAGCACAAAAGGAGAAATTATTCTTCAAAAGAAAATTAGAAGCACGAGAGAGGGACATGGCCAAGGGGGAAGGAAAGAAGAAATGGAAAGTCAATGAGGCAGAATGGCAACAGGATGAAATGGCTGGTGATCCCACTGCCAGCAGTTACCGCAATGGGAAAAACAGCCGTAAAAAAAAAAATGCGCAACAGAGGAGAGCAGCACGTATGGAACGAAACCATTTACAAAACATGAAAACGCAAAATGAAGATTTTGTGCGAACGCATTCCTCTGTACAGCAGTCTGGTCAGACAAATCACCACACATACGTTCGTGAGGAAGGGGAGGAGGCAGAACAAAGGGATCGAGTAATTGAAATTTACCTGAACAACTATCCCCACAACGTTGACCTGCTGCAAAGGTGCATAGACCAAAAGGAATTTTTAAAGTTCTTCCTCGATTTTAATTTTCAACAGTATTCCTTAAACAAGAATGAGGAACAGACTCAGAGTGAAAGAAGGGTCGGTCACTTCTCCTTCACTCATCGCAGCGAGGCTATTCGAGCTTATTTACACTTCAAAAAAAATGGAAAGCACATTGACCGCAATTTTAAGCTGAAGCTGGCGGTGCCCTGCAACGAGGGGGGAGAAAACGACACAGCAGCAAAGGACAACGTGGACCGGATGATGAACGAGATGGTGAACGAGCTAGACAAAATGTTTTCTCTCTAGGATGCTGCGTGCACTACGTGTAATGTTGTGCCCTCTCTTTGTATGACATGCCCGGGAGAGCACTTAAAAAAAAGGCGGTTTACCAAACACTCCGCCAACTGTTCACTTTGAAGAAGCTACGCTCGCTGTATACCCATCACATAGCGCGTGTGCTGGTATGCATTTTTTTTTTTTTTTTTTTTTTTTTTGTTGTCACAGGTTAATCTGTCGCCACTCCCCACGCGTTT